CATAGAAATAAATTAATTAAAATACTAAAACAAAACAAGTGGCCAAAGGGACCTGCGAAGGAATAAGAAGGCAAAGCCATTTTCTGAGGCGATATATATATATATATATATATATATATATATATATATATATATATATATTTATCTTCTTAGAAAAAAAAATTTTCTATACTAAGTCCATAAACACATAAAGCCAAGGATAAAGAAATAAAAGCATCTATAATTTTTAAATGAATTCTTAACTTTCTATAAATTGTAAAAGATAGGCCAAACTTTTACTTATATAGTAACAGATGGTCAGTCAAATTCCCCCCCAAGTAATTAAAAGAAATGACAATATTTTATATTAATCAAAAGAGGGAGAGATATGAACAATTTTAGTTTCAACATATTTCCTTGTGCCCCTTGGTGAAATCTAATTTTAGCAAAAGCCACTTAACACATATAATTACTAAATGAATATACAGGAAGATGTAATACTTAGCTTTCATATCACAGTCTCAACAGTGATTAATGTAATCTTATTTAACTAACAAGAAGAAAAAAACTCTCTGTAAATAAGCATCTAATTATAAGAATACAAATGTTATTTTGTGGAGTAGTGAGTAAATATAGTTTCTTAAAGCAAATTGTTAATTACTGAATAGTGTGGTGTAAGATAAACTGTTTTAATAGCACAAAATATCACTTACTATAATCACAAAGTTTTTATATTCAAATGCATATTGTTTTCAGGTTTCAAAATTCTAAAATTCTGTAAGTGATATGTTTATACAGAAAAATAATGAAGAAAAATAAATTAGAATTTCCTATGAGTGAAAACACACAAGAAACTAGGTGATGTAGTTAGAAGAAAGATCAAAGTATAATAAGTTCAGAATTATGACTACAGGCACACACAACTCTTTTACTTTAATGTCCATGTGTTACTAAAATATTAACAGTAATTAGATCCCTAGAATTAATTTAATGAAACTAAAACATTTATTCTAGTAGTAACTCAGCAGAACTCATATCCAGAGATGTTCCAACAAAAAAGTTACATAATGTTATTGAGAATTCTTATTTAATACTATCAGTAGAAAGGCCTTTTAAATGTGTGTATATATTTATATATGTAAAACACACACACATATATATATATACACATATATACATATATGTAATTTGTACACACATAGTAATTTAAAAATTGGTACTTTGTACCATAACATATTCATCAAATAAAATTTAATCTGTTACCATCATAATCTTTTGAAAAATTCTGACATTTCTAGGAACCTTTAACATGGACAATTTTTATAATGCACAAGCAAAAATAAAATTCTAAAACATTTTTATATAAAATATATATTTTCATTTAGTTATAAAACAAAGTAAATAACATACTCAAATAAAAATTGTCCACAAATGATTCAGAGATCCTTCTAGTAAGAGAAAGATGGTTTTATACTGAATATTAGAGGAGGCAAGAAAATATTTGAATGTTAATTATTTTTCTTAGCAGTGGCTTCAATTTCAAATCATTATCTTTTTTCATTGCCATATCTTGAGAAACTGGTTTGTACACTGGAGTCAAGTTTTCTTTGTGGGAGGAAATTATTTCTAATAAATTTAAATCAAAGTACTTTATATAGACAGAAGTCAAATGTAAGAGAGAGTCTAAGTAATTTTTCAGAAAACCAGAGTAGAAAACTGAGTAAAGGTGATAGGTTTGTGTTATTTTCAAGTGCCCAAATTTAACTAGTTTTGCATCAACTAAGTTAATTAACTATACACTTCACTTATTAGAGGTTCTTAAGAAACAGCCCAATTCCAGTCAGGAATTTTGTCTACAGTATAGGCTTCTTCTACACAGTTAGTTGCATCAGGCATGCTGATAGATTGACTATCAAACATCTAGAAGAACTGAATTGATATGGCACAATCTGGCTCAACATTTGGAAAGAAGTGGCTTGAGTGTTGACCAACAAGTTGTTAAAGATTGTGCTCACAGACACAGACAACTGAATGGTGATTACCAGAGGGAAAGATGGGGAGGGGGAGGCAGAAGAGGGTCAAGGGGAGGTAAATGGTAACTGAAGGAGGTTTGACTGAGTAGTGAACATTCAATGCAATATACAGATTATATAGTATAGATTTCTACACCTGAAACCTACATTATTTCACCTTAATAAATTCAATACAATTGAATGTCACCACAATAAATAAAAATTTTTAAAGGATAAAAAAGATTGTGCACATATAATTTCTTTGAATGGTTCTATAGTGATTGAAACAGATACATAAAAATAAATAAATTCCCTTTGATGACATGGCACTTATCAAAAAATCTCTGAGTTTTAAACAAACTAAACAACCAAAAACCTACAAATTCTAACATTTGGCAAAAGGAGGATGGTAGGAAATCTTAAATAGTTTTCATGGCACCCCAACTTTGTTAACTTCACTACAGTAACAAATGTGAAAATACAAACAGAAGCGCCAGGTCTCTGTGAAAGAAGTAGATGAAGATTTCTAGCATGCCTGAGAGGGGAACTAAAATGGGAAATAAATTTGGTAAGAAATGTAAGTAATACTAGCAGATGCATATTTAGATAATATAAATCTATCACATGGCACTATTATATGTGCTCTGAGGGCAGCTATGGTTGTTCTAGGCAAAAGTTATCTTTTTATTTAACTTTTACACTCCTTTTGCTAAAAGGGAAATTTTCTTATAAAAATGAAAAACACAAAACCATCTTTAACAAAATGTTAAATATGAATGCACTTTAAAATGTGTAAATTAATATGTAAATTGATACTATGAAGTGGTGGGATACTTTCAGTAGTTTCCCACTCTTTCCAATTGTTATAATTCAGTTATTATTTTTAAAATTAGTTTAATTTACCAACTAATATAATAGAAATCATGCATCAAATTTATGTAATGGATAACTGAAGGAGAAATGCCATTTTTTCATACTGTATATAAAAAAAAGTCAAATAATAAAATTGACTATTAATGTTTGCACCTGTATTCACATGATCTGGAATAATAAATTCAGTTAACTCAGTAACAGCACTAATAAATCTAGCTAACATATTTCCAGTTGATAAGGATGTTTAACACAAAGCCAGAAATCAGTGTGAAGGTAAACAGAAACGCCTAGAGAAAATAAAGTAGGGGAAGGATGAAGCTGGAGGCATGGTATGCTATCATGAGAGGGTGGATGAAACAAAAATGGGAAAAATACTCTTTCTCTTCATTCTTCAGTTTTCTTAAGGCCTTGATAGTGGCATGTACTTTCCTTCCCACTACAAATGGCTTTCTGGGTGACCCTTCTCAGGAGCATTATAAAGTACTGTAATCTATTTTTATTTTATGGGAAAGATACAGTTATCTTTACATATAGAACATTTTACAATTCCTTTGTGAGCATTATGATTCTAGAGCTGGGAGGAAATTAGGAAATTACTTATTCTAACTAACCACTTATTTTATTGATAGGTGAACTGAGGTGCAAAAAGGGTATCATTTAGTTTATAATCTACATAAATATATTGGGACTAAAAGGTTTAGACATGCCATACCTATTGTTAGCTCCTATTATTATGAAACCAAGAGACAAATATGCATAAGAAATTATCCAAAAACACAAAGAAAAGGTTACAAAAAGGAACTCTCCACTGAGGATAGCTACTGTTGTGATGTCAGTAAGAAAGTGAGCTAGAAGTAAAGAACTTCAAAGAATGGATTAGGGAAAAGGCACTAAATGATGAACGTGTAAACACGGAATGGTTACAAACAGAAAAGTATGTATAAAGTACTTACCAAGTATATGTTACATCTTGAAAATCCATAAAATGAAAAATGTAAAATTTCTCATATTATTATTTTCTAACAAATTTATTTCTACCTCAATTTCATTATAAAAACAAAGTATATGGGAAGCTATAAAAGGGGTGCTTGTGATTATTTCAAATCCCTGGACTCCTTTTACATAGGACATCTAGAAAATCAATCCCACTGCTACTTTAGCTAGGCAGTTCTAAATGACTACAGACTTTATAAGCTTAGTTGAGGTGAAAATAGAAAGCTCAGGTGACAGAGTTGATGATTTCCAATTCTACAAGCTTTCCATGAGCATTTCTGTGACATCACTTCACTACATTAAAATATATTGTGTCAAAATAATTATTTTTATTAAATTCTAAAAACTTGAAAACTCAAATATGTGAGTTCCTAAGATGCTATTGGCTCATAGCAATGATCAGAGCCAACACAAATATTTTTCATTGGAATTACCTAGATCATTGCTCCCCTAAATATCTAGATCATTGTCTCATTGGTAGAAAAAAAAATGGCATATGGGTAAACATTTTTAATTTACTTTTAAAAAATGGGTTTTAATATATCTTAGAAAAATACATATCGTTTTATCTTTTAAAACTGAATCAAGTAAAAAATACATTAAGTAAACAGTATAGGTGGCATGAGAATATGGCCAGATTTAAATGTCTAAGGTGTGGAAAATGTTGACCTTCATAAAGTAACTTCTCTGGCAATGAGCTAGCATAAATACTACTGGTGAAAGATGTGAAATTTCCAAATTAAATGATATTTTATTCTGTATATTACTTCTTGGGTTTTTATCTCATAAAAGAGCCAGTGTAGATCAATATAATATAAAAAGCCTGATCTCTGGGCAGAAATTTAAAGGGTTTTACTGAATTTCATTGAAGAAAACCTATTAAAGTTAGTATTAATGAGTGAGAATCCTCTCTCTTTTCTCCTACTATTAATGAAAACTTCCAAATTCATATAATTGTGGGGTGCATATCAGTAACATTCTGCATAATAGCACACATATTACATTCTGGATAATACCACAATACTAACAACCTAACACTTTCTTGTCCCAGCCCAGTCTGTTCGTTTTTTCTCCCCAGATTGGCATATGTTATTAGTGGCTACCAAGAGGCTAAATTAGACAAATAAAAACTCAAATACTTACAGTCGCTGGGGAGGCCCGAGTGGTATGCGTCACGGAGTGACCAGAATTCTCCATTGAATTGCCGATCAGATAGGTTCCCCCGGAGCTGCTGATGAGTTGTCCTCCCGTGACGCCCATCTGAATCCCACCAGTGCCCACCATACTGTGGGATGAGACCACGGTAGTCACCTGTGCAGAACTCCCTTGAGTATCAAAGTAATTCCCTCCAGTGTTTTGGCTGTACATCTGCGTTTCTGTGTAAGGATAAGTTGTTGTTCGGCTTTAGAAGAAGAAGAAAAAAGAAATTTACTAGCTTATTTATATCATCTTATTTAACTTTTTCTAGTATATATATATATATATAATATATATATAATATATAATATATAATATATATATAATATATATAATATATATGTTTAAAATATATCCTTTGGAACATGACAAGTTTTGTATTTTGTATGAAACTTGATTTCCAGAAGTAATATGTGTTTACTTTCCAACTTAAAGGCACATACTTTTATTAAGCACCTCAACGTGTTCTCTGACTGTAGAAATCTTGCTCTCTGCTTGTGTCTACCTCCAGCATATAAATAGGATCAGGTCTCTTCTCCCCCAAAAGTTTTGCTGAGTGACTTCTTCAATTTCTTATAAAACTTCCTGGATATCCCAGTTTTAGAAAAGCTGGGATCTGGCATGAGTTGGGGCTGTAAGTCAACTCCCTATACTACTTCACATTCCTGGATGACTTGCAATAAATAACCTTTCATGACTAAGGAAACTTGCATGGATATCTTTCTTGCCACCGTAAGGATCTTCACTCATCTTGTAACCTAAATCCCTATCTATGTATCTCTCTTTCTCAATACTCAAGATTCTCCTTTACAAAGACTATGCTAGCACTTCACACAGTCACTTTTCACTTCCCAACAACTGCAGTACGGCTTCTGCTTTGGCCTTTTGTTGAAACTGCTTTTAATAAGGTCACTTGCGACCAAATCTAAATACCAAGGTATAAGGGTTCTGTCAGTCCTTATCTTTGTTGACCAAGTCTGCTATATAGCATTGTTGACTACTCCATGTTGCCCTTTCCCTGCTCTTTCTGTTCTGATTAAGCTTATTTCATTGATTTATCTTTCATTTCCAATTGGTTATGACATTTAACATGACTTTGTTTTCATTTTTATTTTAAGAAAAGTATATGCTCACAAGAAGTTGTAAAAACAGTACAAAAAATATAAAGTACTTTTACTAAAAATTCAAATATAAAGTTAAAATTCCATTTGTCATTCTCTTCAACCCACACCCACTAGCCACTTCTGATGATTTAATGTGTATATTTTCAGACATTTTGTATGTATACACTGCGTCTCTCTTCACCTCTCTTGTTCCTTCGTTTCTATGACACTTATTTTCCACTACTTACTTTCTCTACCACTAACTACCTTTCAAGAACATGTCAAAGCTCCATTTTATGGTACTTTAAACAACGACATCTTCTGTGCTCTCTATGTTTAGTTCTTTTTCAGACCATATACCTTTACCATATACTATACAACCATGTAGATGTTCACAGTAAACAACCTTGCAGAAGTTGATTTCTCCACTCTTTTTATCTTTTAGTTATACTTAGGAATTTTAAATCTGGGTTTCAAACAGCCATCTGGTTATCTTTACTAGGAAACCCTATGTTATATGGGAGGTCCCCTATATAAAACTTAAAAGGAAATTCATTTTCTCGCTCATTTTTTCCTGTGCCACTCTCAGCTTTAGAAGTATTGCCTCTTTCCTCAGACTGACACCAGTCACTAAGTCCTACCAATTTACCTTCTAAATAATTCTCCAACTCTTCTTTCCAGTCTTGTACTTAATGCATTTAACTCATAATATTTTGCATTATAATTGCCTTCTAATAAGCTTTTCTGCCTCTAATCAGGCTCTTTTCCAATCTATTTTCAACTGTGCTGCCAGGGGAGTTTTTCTAAAATGCAAATACGAAAACAAAATGTTTCTTAAAAAAAAATCTTTGGAGCAGGAGTGGCGGAGGCGGGGAGGACAAAAAAACAAAACAAAAAACCTTTCCAGGATTCTCTCTTGCCCTCAGAGGGAATTCAGAACCCTTGACTGACCTTACAAAAACAGCAGGACTGGTGCCTACGTAATCTGTTCAGGTGCTAGCCATGCTTTTTCCACTCACACCATACTGGCCTTTCTATTGGTTCCCCAAAGAGCCATTTTCTCTTGCCTTCCTGTTTGTTGCACATGGTTTCCTCTGCCTGGAAGGCCTATACATTTTTCTTCTTTTCTCTTCCTATTTCCTCATCATTCATAAACTCTCAGCTCAAACATCACTTACCTTATCCCCAAATTATTTTTCTGTACCCCCTACCCTCTCTGCTCACTTTTCATAGGACTGTTATGTGTTGTTCTCTGTATTTTCCTAATGCATGCTCTGTGCATACCTGAATCATAACACTCAACTTAGTTATTGTTGAATTCTTCATGTCTTAATACTCCCATGAAATTATGTTTTATTCCCATCTGTATCCTCAATACTTAACAAGTTTCTGGTACACTGTGGGCACACTAATCAACAGATAAAAATATAATCTGACAAAATAGTCAGTTTCATAAATTTATAAAACATAAAGCCTTTTTTTTAAAACATGAGAAATTATGCTAAACTATTCAAACATTTGTTTATAGCATTTAAAACAGGTCATTTGAACTCATTACAAATTACACTTGTAATATAAATTATAAGCTTTAGTAAAATAATAATAGTGTTCTGAAAGTATTGCACACTGAGTAAGTTAACACATTCTAGCAAGAGCCAGTGTAGCAGAAACAGGTAAGATTTTTGTTTTGTTTTTTCTTTATTAAGGTATTACATATGTGTCCTCACCCCCTTTTCTCCTCCACCCCCCACTTGTCCCCTTACCTCCCTGGTGTCTATGTCCATTGGAAATGCTTATATGCGTGCATACAAGTCCCAACAACCCCATAGAAAACATTTTTTAAATAGAGAAAAAAGCCATTTAAAACACATGTATAGTTCCTCTCTCATCATTGCTCCAGCTCCTATTGGGAGTCTCATCTATATATTCCATTACATACTGATAAAACAATCATGCTGATTTCAAATTTAGGTAAAAAGACAAATGAGGTCATTTTACGTTATGCCCACTGGATACAACAGTGACCTATCTTATTCTACTTAAAACAACACAATCTAGGATAGCCAAGTAAGGTATACAAATAGATACAGGACACTAAATACTTTGACAGATAGAAGATATGGTGCTGGCTTTCATTTTCAGAGTTGCAGCAAAATGCACAAGCATGCTCCCTAGTAATAAGTTGATTTCATATATAAAACATAGTGATCATAAATGATAGCTAAGATACTGACCATTTAGTATGCAATAGGCATTATTCTATGTGCTTCAGGTACTTACTCATTTAATCTTCATTTCAACTCTATGAAATAGGTGCTATAGCAATTCCTTTTGCACAGACAAGCCGATAGGTTGAGTAGCTTTATCCAAAGCTAATAATTGGTAAACAATTATGTGGAATATGCACTGAACCAATACCATACTCTCAAACATTTTGTCACATAAAAAGAACTTGTTGTGTGTGTAAATTATATTTGTGAATAACTATTGGGGAGTAGTCTTAAAGGTGATATAGAGGCCCTATGAATTTTCTGTTGCTATTTTGGATTTCCTTACATCTTCATTCGCTGTTTACTGGCCCCACACTACTCTCTTCTCTTACCCAGATTAGGACCTGCAGATGCACCTGCCATGGTAACAAGATAGAAAAAGTGGAACTATTTCAGAGGATACACCATCACATACTTAGAATTGATAAATCTATGATCATGGGAGTTACTATTCTAGCACAAGAGAAACATTTCAAGGAGTTTATAATACTCAATCTTTGGGGCATGACTCCTTTTATAATTAGTTCTCAGTGAAGTAATATTACTAATGCAAACAAATGAAGCATAGGTATATAAAACTAGGTCTGTAGTCCTCAAGTCAGGATAAAAATATGGCAGCAAAATGAAATGCAACCTGCTTTTATTTTCATACTTCTCTCTCGTTAGAGATGATTCAAAAGATAGAAAATGAGCAAAGAACAAGACAAGGATAAAAGTCACTAAAAAGTATGTCTAAATCATAAATTGTCCTCATTTTGAGTCATGACCAATGTGATTGGGAAGGCTTGGCTATTGCAAAAACAAACCCCGGGATAAAGACTGGCAATTTCTATGGGAGAGGAAAAAGGACAACTTTATTAGAAAACGAATTTGTCTCTGACAAACAATGCATACTTGCAATGAGAATAGAGGAACTGAAAATACTGGATTGGGTAATAGAGGCAGACCATTATGTCCTTTGCCATTGTTCTTTAAATGTAAGAAGATAAACATGAATGTATTTGTTGGAGTACTATTGGGAGCCAGAGTTAGTACAAGTAACTCCTCCATGGTCTAAATGCACTAAGCTCCTGAATAAATACTGAAGAACTATATAAAAAAAGAAGCACTAATAGCAAAAGTAGCAGTTCTTTCAGAAGTACTAGAAATAATGACTAATTCTGATTCCTCAGATTAGTTTATCTGGATACATGTTTATAATTAGTTTATAATGAATACATGTGAGTTATTGCTTGCACATTATTTTCCCCAGACATTTTCAAAGTACAAGTGGGGCAAAAGTAGGTTTACAATTGTTCATCTGGAAAATAATACAAGAAATAATAATACAAGAATAAACACTATGTTTCACGTATTAACAACTGCAAACCTACTTTGCCCACCCTATAAATATATTTGAGATAAGAACTCAATATTTGGCATATCTGACTGAAAGCAGCTATTTCTAGACTATACATTCCTGCAACAACTAAATTCCCAAGCAATTCTGTTTACATTTGAAAGATGTGCCTCTCTTCCTTTTGTTTGTTATTTATTGATTGCCACAGGCTGTTATGAAAATAATGTCATATTATTTCTATGGCAGGAAAGAAATCTTTTCATTGTTCTGCACATGTATGCAATAATGACTGTACACACATAGATATGTGCACACTTGCTGAGAGAAGTTTCTTCACAGCTGACTGTATTGTAAGGTCCAATGTAAATGTCAGGACTCTGATCCATTGAGTTCAGTAAATTACTACTGTCCCATCATGCCTCAGTAAGCATGATTCTGAATATTCCATGCTGGCTTATTCATTGGGACTAGTATGTCTATTTACCTCAGTTAT